CATACTGAAGTTAGTGCTGATGATGTCGCTGTCTAGAAAGACAATGAAAGCTTCACGATTAAACAACCCATCTCAGAGAACACAATACAACCAAGACCATCCACCTGAGCTACAAATATTCTCCACTATTGATCATTCTGACTAGCTCCACTTTCAAATAATTTGATCCCTGTTAAAGAGTTTTTGCATTAAATAACAAACTGTGATGAAATTAATTAATTTCAAGTGAGTTCGATTCAATATAAGTAAACAAGAGAGAACATCTAAATGATTTCTAGATGTTGTCAGTAAAATAGTCGATAATACCATTTTAAAAAATTTACACCCAATCACTTGGCAATTTTAAAAATACTTCACAATGAAGTTAATTGAATTTGGTGGCTGGAAGAACATTGGAAACGTGGAAACACTGGACAGCTGTTTCGTCCTAGCATGCGACTCTTCAGCAGTGCGCACCCGCTACCATTGGGGCGGAATCCATTGGTCTATATTTCCAACTTCTGTCATCTCATGACATAGCGCGACCATAACCGAATATCATCGTTGAGTATTTTTTCTCATCGCCATCAGATTCACCCCACCGGTCACTACTTCTCAGTAGAACTTCGAAAATCATCTCACGAAACTAGTCACTAATGAGCAATAGATCAGTTGAACTTAGAGGTTTATAAGGATTTAGAGATTTTTTTCAAGTTGATATTCATCAGTTGGAGGAACATTGGAAACCTGGAAGCATTTGACAGTTGTTTCGTCCTTGCGACAACTCACACCGTTACACAGTAATGCCTGGTCCTAGATTGATCTGGATGGATGTTGTTTCGTTCCAGTATGCAACTTTTCAGTGGTGTACACTTACGACCCGCTAAATAAGTTAGTTGAAACAAAATTATTCACCATTGACATGATTTTAAAGGATTATCAATTTGAAATTTATCAGTGTTTACTTCAGACACCAATATTCATAAACCTGTTTGACTATACTAATGATAGCAACACAACTCCCTACCTACCTACTTACTATGCGATATTTGTTAACTTCTTCACATAAATAGTTGGGTATGATCTAAAATAATATGGATCTAGCTAAAAAAAAAAATTTTTTTCATAAAATAAGTTTCTTTTTCTCTTTTCCTTCCAACTTTATAAAAGAGTGTGAAGTTTCCTTTTTCAGTTGTCATTAACCTGTTAATAGTTGTTCGTGTTCACATGGTTCCTCATCTATCATATGGAAGGGATTATAATCAGCTGATTATTTCAATCAAAAAATCATCTGATTTAAATAAATGAAATTGGCACCAATCAATAAAATAAATGATTGAATTTTGCCATGTGTAATTACTATTCATAATAATATAAATACAATACTAAAGTTATGTTCAGGAATTCAATTGATTTCTACAAGAATATTTTTGATGATACATTGTTGTTAAGTGAACTGACAGAACATCCACACCATATTCAGTTTTTACAATATCTATCTACCTCCAAATAAAAGGCATATATATAGTAATGATGGATAATGGCTAGCAGTGGAATCCTAGTGGGAACAACTTCACTCACCGGGAAGCAGGTACATCCAGCTGACGAGTCCCAAATAGGACGAAATGTGCATCCTGGATTCCATTGCTAGCCACTATTCATCATTAGAGCACAGGTAATATCGAGGCATCCGTACAGGATCCCATATGCTAATACAGACCGATCAAGTTATACTAAAAGGCATATATTACTATGCTAAAGAGAATTATCCCCTCTGAAGTTTGAATTCGCTTTCTGTAGCTGTTTAACCTTACGAAAAACACCAAGGATCTATACAATTGGATTAAGTACACAATATTCACTCGTATAACTTCTTTATCGTATATCTTTTGACTTAGTCGAAATACAATTTGGTCAGTACTAATCTTCTGTTCAATAGGAGATTTGTTTGTAATCGGAGTAAATCAGCATAAAATCTCTGACTGGCACTGTTCTCATCTCATAGGGATGGAATAAGTTCTTAAAAGATTCTAGACATATCTTAGTATGGAGTGCTAAAAAATATGAAACCTGAATGTTTGGCTTTTTGACTACAATTTCCATATTTGTCTAAGAATTGACACCAGTTTCTGATGCTAATCACTTTCTGTCGCCTATTCATCCATTCATACGTTGCAATGGCTAATTATTTAAGCAGCGTAATGAGAAGACGAAGATTATCTGAAATATGTCGTGTGATGTATTAGCGCTATACATTTGGAACAATCTGATCACACATGGACTTGTCGAACTATTTATGTAAAAATTTACGAAAAAGGCCAATGAAGTTAATAGGAAACATAAGAATAGGAAGGGATCGAAAAAAACCTTACTCTTGGTATGAAAATTAAAATCAATACTACCAAGGTAGGTTCAACATGAGTACGAATTGTTTTTGTATACATAAAGCAGGGGGTTTAAATTTACGGATCTTCGTCTTCTCATTACGCTGTTTAAATTTATCAAAGGGACCAGTTGCTTTAAATTTTTAAAAGAAGGCTAATTATTTGTTTACAAGGAGAACATATTTTTTCTCTCTAGTATTCAATCGCAGCTATTTGGTTATACAAAAAGTCGAACAGTAATCAAATGAGAAGATGATTTGCATACTTGAATCGACTAAATCGAAAATTATCGTCTTGAATATCGGGCTTGCATCTCAAAATGACCCGATGAGCTATACTGATTGAAACAATGGTCTCTTGAAATTGTACCATGTCAAAAGGATCTACTAGGTAGTGGTAAGACGAACAAGGTTATGTAGAATGGACGCCAGGCGAACATCCGATTAGATATGCTTACTCACAGTCAGGTCATTAGGATCACTCTGAGTAAACCAATTTCCTTTTCACTTCAATACGTAACCTTCCACAGTGTTGACAACTGAGTAGTATCAGCTGCCATCATACCTCTGTCATTACTGAAGTCCCTTCACTTTGTTGACTTCTAGTATTTCCTCACTTACCTTGCTGGGTTCCCTCCAGTGGCCAATCAATGTACACAATCTATTCTCACAGGAGATCAGTCACAGCCCGAATAGCTCAGTGATAATGTTTTCGACTGTAGCAATGGATGACACGGGTTGGGATCCCAAGGAGTATATCACTTCCGTCAAGGTTCCAGTTCTCCTCAAATCTCTCTGTTATTAATTCTATATTGTCTTTTATTTCTTCCGACTTCGTAGCCATTGTTAGCGATTTGGATTCACAAAATAGCATTCCTGGCGTTCCAAAACCGCTCTCCAAACTGGATATCAAAGCTTTCGGTGTCTGCTTCTTTCGTCAAATCACCCAAATTTCACTAGCCAAAACTCTGCCATTAAGCACTGTGGACATGTGCTCTGTTTTTGAGATGTGTGTACAGGACTGAAGTGTTCTTCACTTAGTCTGACTTGGCCAATGTTGTGAATCTGCGAAAATCACCCTTGAAGATCTTAAGTACTCCTCAGTTAGTTATCGTAGTCTTGCAGATGTAGGTATAGCATTGAGTCTTAAGGCAGAAAGTACACTACTCGACTGGATCCCAGTCGTCTATGGTGCAGTGAGGACTGAAAAAAATACACTAACTCCCCATTATCTCTTTTTAATCTTCTGCTTACACAACCGATGGCTGCAGTTGAGGTGAAGTAAGAGATGAGTTTTATCGTAAACCGTCCATCTGAAAGATTGAGGATGGAAAGACAAGTATTGAGATACAGTCATCGTGGCGTGCTATTTCACTACACAAGTAGAAGGATGAATTCAGAGGGAAGGAAACTTGAAGGCACTTTTAGAATTTAAGCCAAAAAAAAATGGATACCAGCAACTGACTTCTACAGCTTCGCTCTGAAAACTTCCTGTTTTTAACCAGCACAAACTCCAGGCATGCGAAGAGATATTATCTGATATAATGTCCGCTAACCTCAACCCAGTGGTAGACACAGATTGGTCATATTGCCATTGGTTATCATTAAGGAGGGTCGGTGGAAGATTTCCGCTCCTCTTATAACATGTTTTTGGACAATGACCACGTGGTGACTAAAGCACACATTTGTCTCTGCTTTAGTGAACTCAGAGAAACTGCAACTGAACGACTATTCCTATCTCAGATCGATAATGAGGCTGTGGTAACACAGTTTTTAGTGCATGAAATGGATACAAAAGACCCAAATATCTTTTGTCAGCTTACACCACCTACGGTGTGAGATATCTGTTTACCTTACCACGAATCAAGCATACTCTGCCTTTCTATATGACTGTGAAACATGACCATTCAAATTGGCAGATATACAAAAAGACTTCAGGCATTCGGCTACCGTCACCTTCATAGTATTGGCCGTATATCAGGAAACCATCATATTAACAATATGATTAAGCGAAGAGCATTAGGTGAAAGAGATCAGTCACTTAATGAGATTGTGGATTGAAGTGACTGGATCATACGTTGTGCATATATTGCGTAGGAGTCTAACTGTAACTGTAAAACATTGTTTTTAACAGGAAGAGAGATGAAGAAGCCCTATGTATTCTATCATAAGTGCGTTCATCCTGTTTTTTGCATTTATTGAAACTAACTGATCACTAGTTTTAGGATTTTGACACAAATGTTTGATCATCATATTCATGTCAACCGTATAACAAATGATAAGGTTTCTTACTAAGTTTTTAAGAGTGAATGACATGGTTTTAATCATTTCATAATAGCCTTGTTGTAATCATATCTTTTCTTTAAAAGTTCTAATTTCGTTTCCCATCTCTTCCTTTACACTTATAGTATTCTTCTAGTTTATTTCAATATCTTTCTAATTACATGTTTTCTATGGTGTATCAAGTTGTTTTGTAAAGGCTGTGTACTTTTCAACCAGCTTTCAGGTTTTTTTGTAAGCACAACCAAATAGATCATACTCAGATATATATTGCTTCGATTACAGAGTTTAGTATCATTGATGAGTTTTTGATCATAGTTCTCATGTATCCTTATTATTTTTATTTATTTCATGATAGATGGACAATGTCCCGGTCTTACTCCACAAGAAATGGATCAATGTGTATGTACCGCTGAACGTCTTGCTGAATGTTTATCTTCTAATTTAATTCACTTACGTGATCGGTGGATAACATCTGGACAAACAACAGTTGTAGGTGTTGCTACAACACCGACACGATCATCTGTTGCTTCCAATAATAATAATAATAATAGTCCATGTCAAAATATCTCATCAGGAGATAAGCTAGTCAAAGATGTAATTGTAAATGATGAAAGTCGACTGAAACGAGATAAATTTAGTCCAACAGCCAAAATGATAATATCTGATCAGAAATCATTAAGTGAGGAAGTCAAAACTCCTGCTGCTCTTGCCACTACTAATGTTAACAGTAATGGTGCAACAACAACAACAACAACTGGTTGTTTAGTTAAAGAATATCTCCTTCGACGAAAAACTGCTTCAGATGACTTTGTAGATGTTCGGTATGTTTTTCATTGAGTTAAATATTATCATCAGCTGTTAAATTGTTGCTTTTACACGTTTTCTCCTTATGACTTCCCAAGGTTTCAATTTATGATCTCTTATAACAAGCTTGTAATATATAGACAATATATTCCCATAAGATGAAGACGTAAACAAGATACAATTTTTAGTAAACACTCAGAGTAAATAGTATGAGAATATTTCAGATATTTCTTCATCGATACAGTCGCTGCTAATTACGTGAGATGTTAAGCATGTTCATCACCTTGCTTCTTAAGGATGTCGTAGTAAACAGGCTGGATGTAAAGTTTATGGATATCGATTAAGTACCAAGTATACCTCTTGAATATCTTTTTATTATCTTCACTGGATAGTTGCATCTTTATGGAAACAATTCCAGAATTAAGCGTAAGTAGTGGCGATAAATCAGTATGAATTCTCATTGTTATCAGACGTATGTGTTATGTGTATTTATTTACTGACTAACTTAATACACTATGCTAGCTCATGTATATCGTACCAATATATAAAGTGGAACAAGTAAAACATGGAAAGTCTGTTCATTGTTCTAAAAGTCGGGATCAGTCAGGAAAAAAAAGCTTTTTACATAGCATTTTTTGGTATAAAAACTTGTGTATGCTTTCTAAGTTAACTTATATATATATATATATATATATATATATATATATATATATATATATATATATGAGGCAGCGAGGACGGGATTTCCTTCAAGCGAACGTAGAGGAAACACAAGTGATGAAAATACCCAACCAACAACAACTAGTATCAACCACTATCAACAGGAGAAATCTAAACAAAGTTGTCTCTTTCACCAACCTACCTACCTACCCACCTAGGCAGCATCGTTTCAACTACAGGCAGCGGTGACGGCACACATGAGAATGTCAAAGACAGCATCGGAAACATAGCAACACAGACCCTCATTATTCTGAAATAATCAGTGTGGAGATCTACTGCACTCCACTGCACTCAGCGTAAAGCATGAACAAGATCCAGATTTTCAACACTAATGTCAGTCAAGTGAGTCAGTTCTTCTATGTGATGGTTCACAGAGTTGGCGGTGCGTTACGAAAGCATTTGCAACAAACTGCAGACATACGTTATCAACAGCTGCCGCCGACGCTCACTCGATAGTGAAGATGAGATCAGATGGCCAGAATAATAAGAATGGTAGCAAGGAGGAACTCTGTCTGGCTGGCCGACTGGCTGACAATGAAGCAACCAACAACCTGTCGCCTAACAGATGAGCAGGAGAAAGTGGAGATGGATTGGATTGGATTGGACATATACTGAGAAGACCATTTGTGGACGTCACTCACCATGCCAGGCTAGGTCAGGCCGTTGAGTGGAAACCAAATGGGAAACGATGAGTTGGGTGTATCAGGGTGACATGGAAGAGATGGTGTGAGGAAGGAATGAAAGCTTGTGGGTAGTTGTGGAGCCAGGTTAACGAGACTGTAGAGAAGTGAGTGAAATGGTGACGTGCTACTGAAGCCCTATGCTCCACTAGGAACCCAAAGGATAAATAATAATGATAATATGGATATGCATTATTTATTGATCAACAAACAATTGGGTGTATAATGGCTTGATGTACACAGTTTTGTTGTAAATCCATAAAATTGTAGTTTCTTTTAGTTAAGAATACATAACATCTACGTAATTGTGATAAATACACTATGTAAGTAAGTTATGGGGTTGGTTTTAAAATGTTTTATCACTGAATTGTTCTCCTTATTGTCACTATATAAAGTATGAAAAGCTTAGTATCACCAAGTGGTTTAATCTTTGGCACGCAAGTTGGAATTAACTTATAATAATAATGATAATCGCTTTATTCCAAACAATATGTATGAAAGTATGGAATTGTCAGCATGTAATTTTTCAACAAATTCACTCCTAGAACAATATTTTAAGATGAAATGGTTATTGTATCTGTATGATGTTAATAATAACACTACTTAAAGCAATAATATAATATACCCAGCTGATTCTGGATAGGCATCCGGTTCACAATGAAGAATTAACAGAAATTCAAACGTAATTTTGATAGTGACAATTCATATTCAGATGGTACAAAAATCTTTAACTTAAGCTAAGCATTTGATGAATAGAAATATGATGTACTTTTTTCCACTGAAAAGTTCATCTCCATATGACATAACACTTTTTCCTCTGCCTTTATCTATTGACTCAAGGAATATAAATAGGTAGAAAAAAAAAACAGTTTAAAAATGTGCCAGACTACATGATACATTCAAATGATATATTGAAATGATTAAAACAAATTGAAAGAAAAGAGTTTAATGTTCAATGAATTAATCATATTACTATAAGTACAGATTCAATGTAACTGATCTTTATTCCATAACTCTATGATCACTTTCTACTTTAAAATATAATAGTATGTGTATGGAAGTGATAAACACTACTGAATTCACCAAATGATTTTTAAAAAAATTCTACTAGTCCTATAGCCCTTAGTCATATGATAATGTCATCAATCTAGATAAGTGTTCCATTCAGCAATTGAATTAGTTGTGAATTAAAATATGATCTTCAACACAAGTCCATTAGCAAGTGAAGTTATATATTAATGATGATGTTTTCGAATTGAGTAATATGAGAGAAAAAAATAATTCATAGTGTATGTTAATCTATGAAACTACTCCTTCTATCTAGTATTTAACACAACAACTATAAGGCAATGATTATGAAGAGAAGGAGTCCATCAACTAACTACCATTGCTGAATTTTTTTTAGTCAGTAAGACAAATGCTGAAAAGGTGGAAAGCCAAGTGTATTGAAAGTCAACACACACACACTGATCAAATCCTCAACTACAGTAGCAACAAAGCATAAAATTAATTTGCGTCTAAACTCTATTCAAAAGATCGAGAACACACTGCAGTGCAGTACAACAAGTTCACGAAGAAACGAAGAAAATTACTTGATATCTATCCTAAAGAAGAACAGCTACCCGCGAAACTTTATCACAAGATGCCTATCCCGTACATCATCAACTACAAAGTCATTGATAGAAATCAATAAACACATCATCCTACCATACATAAAGAATATATCAGAAATCATGACGTGATGACTCAGACCACTTCGTGGAATCTGTGTGGCTCATAAACCAACAAATTCCCTCCAAACACTATTATACAGACCAAAGGATGCGACGACCAAAGAAGATAAACCAAACATCATTTACAAAATCAACTGCAATAACTGTAGTCAACACTACATTGGACAAGGTGATCGCCCTCTTCTCCTTCGTCCTATATAACATTTCATCGTTCATTTCAATGCATGTGCATCACATCTATGGACATGAATTTTGACAATGTAGAAATCTTGGAAGGAGAGAGGAAACACAAAGAATATCAGAAAATTCCTAGAAGTTTGGCATTCAAGTCAGTCAGCCAGCAATCAGTAGATGTATAGACATAGACCCAATCTATCAACCAATGAGAAAATTGCTAAACGACAGAAAGGTGAGAGGTGAATCAGAGGAACAGCAAACAGGAAAATCTGTACAGTTAATGACACAACAACCAGTGGGAACAACCAATCACAGACCACCTTGTCGAAGCAAGCTACTAAATCACTAACGGAGAGATATTGACAGCTCACTCACTTCATACTGAAGTTAGTGCTGATGATGTCGTGTAGCAAGACGATGAAAGCTTCTTCATGATTAAACAATCCAGCTTAGAGAACATAATGCAACCAAGATTGTGAATTCTGATCCAACCACTAAAGTTCATCTTAATGCGTTTTTTTTACATCGTTATGTTCTGAATAGTAGTTCCCAGCCAGTACTGAAATTATCGACTCATTTTATCTGAAAATACTTTCCATCTAAATTAACTGCAAATGAAACGAAGTCATATATGGTTTGCCTCTTGTATTTATTCAAGCTATAACTTGCTTTTATCTCTCTTTAACTCATTGAATTTTATGTATGAAATATACATATAGGGTAGCAGTTGTAGGAAATGTAGATGCCGGGAAATCTACTCTACTTGGTGTATTGACTCATGGTGAATTGGATAATGGTCGTGGTTTAGCTCGCCTTCGTTTGTTACGTCATAAGCATGAAGCAGAGTCTGGACGTACTAGTTCAGTTGCACATGATATACTTGGCTTTAGTTCCATCGGTCAGGTGGTCAATAAACCAATGCATGGTCACCTAAACTGGTCTGAAATATGCGAAGCTTCAGCTAAAGTAAGTTTACCTTTTGTGCATACTTACCCTACAATATATTGTGTATATTTTCTACTGAGGCAGTTTTAAAGATAATTCACAAGATTGTACATTCACTGAATAACCAATCAAATTTAGTAAGTGATGAATCGTGGCTAACAGTGGAATCTAGGATACGCATTTCGTTCTATTCGGGACTCGTCAGCTGGATATACCTGCTTCCCGGTGAGTGATGTTGTTTCCACCGGGATTCGGACTTGGGAACGATCGCTTCAAACGCCCGCGCGTTATCCCCTACACCACGAAATGCGCATCTTGGATTCTACTGCTAGCCACGATCCATCATTAACATAATTAGAACGCAGGCAATATCGAGGCATCCGCACAGGAGCTCCCATATACCAATAGAGACGTATCAATTCGGTCCAATCAACGACGGTATCATATAAAAACAATTATACTAAATTCAGTAAGGGTATGTAAAGTCATTTTTCTGTTACTTTAAGATTCTTCTACACTGCATTCCTTTTAAATCCCTTAATTATCGAATCAAAAGATTTCGAGTGTCAGGTCAGCGGCGCATAATTTTATGCTACTTTATGCTGATAGTGAGATTTATGGATCCTGTAAATATTTTTCTTCATCTTGGGTTTTCTGAACTTGACATTGACTTGATTGACTCCTGACGTCATCTCCATGAACATATTTCAGAGTCTTCTTTGTATTGTGTTCTCTAAGCTGGGTTGTTTAATCGTGGAGCTTTCATCGTCTTTCTAGACGACATCATCAGCACTAACTTCAGTAGTACTAATGACTCTTCAGTTGAACCTCCAGTGAGTGATATTGTACCTACTCAGACTCTTACCAAGTACCTATTGCTTCACTCTTGTTGACATTTAACTGATTAATCCAGTAAGACTTTTTTTTTACCTAGTAGTAAGTATGTTGCCATAGAACCCCTTCAATTCATCAAGATAAGTTTGGCATGATGCATTTTTCAAAGGTACATTCTGTAATTGGTGCATTTTTCTGTTGATAACTGTCTACAAGCAACCTTTTCTCCTAGAACTTATGATCTGAATAGGATTTTTCTAACATATCGCCTGTCTTCAAGTTAATCTTAGTTATTGCTCAAAGAAAGGTACTATTTTTATTTAGTCGAAATGAAAAGAATGGAATTTCAACTCAATAGCTAACTGAATGATAGCATGCTGCAACAGCTACATCTCCTAAACTGAATTACATATAAGGTTGAAGGTGTACACAATTGATAACCTAGTAACTCTTTTGTTCTCTCACTTATTTTCTAACTTTTTACAATTTGTGCTTAAGACTACCTTGAAACTAATTACGTTTTGTTTAACAGGATTTATGTTGATTGCTTTACTGAAGAGTTACTAATTTCTTGTTATCTCTTCCTAAGTACTACACTGAATTCTATGGATCACTTTATAATGTGATAACGGAAAAAGGAGAATCATCATATCCAGTGCACTTTGATCAATATTAATTACTGGAAAGGGATTCAGTAGGGTTTTATACCTCTGACATCAGTTAGGTCAATACTTCAGATAAACCTTGCTGAAGAGTGCCATTAACAAGCATGAAAGTTAGATTTATGGCTTCCTGTCAACTGTTTTCAACCATTTAATGTTAATGAAATGTGTCAGTGGGAAACAGTATTTTTTTCTAAACTTACGGTAATAATTTCACGTCGGTAGTCAGTTGATTGTTTACAAGTACTCTAGATTAATTTGGTTATAGATTATTAAAGGAAACGTAATCTGTGCACGTGTGTATGTATGTGTTCCCTATGTGAATACTGGTCACTGTGAATATTACCCATGTTGTATACTACGATTACACTTCTCATTCAGTAGTGTTGAAGACTTGGATTTCGCCGATGACTTGTGCCTGATGTCACATAAACTTGAAGATCTACAGGCAAAAACTAACAAGTTGACAGAAGAGGCAGCGAAGACGGGACTTCAAGTGAATATAGAGAAGACAGAGGTGATGAAGATACCGCACCACCACCATCAACAACAACAACAAACTCCAGTCACCATCAACGGGAGAAACTTAAAGGAAGTAACCTCCTTCACCTATCTAGGCGGTCAGCACTGTTTCAACTACAGGCGGCACTGATGAAGATGTCAAAGTCAGAATCGGAAAATCAAGACAGGCCTTCATTAGCCTGAAACCAGTGTGGGGATCTTCTGCACTGCACTCAGCATGTGGAACAAGATCCGGATTTACAACACCAACCCAGTCAAGTCTGTGCTTCTGTATGGCTCAGAGACTTGGTGCGTCACGAAAGGGATTTCCAATAAACTACAGACAAACATCATCAACAACTGCTTACACTGGCTCGCTACTGAAGATCAGATGGATTGCCAGAATAACCAGAATAAGCAACAAGGAACTCTGGTTGGTGACGAACCAACCAAGAACCTATCACCCAACAAATATGCAGTTGAAGGAAGTGGAGATGGATTGGGCATGCACTGAGAAGGCCGACTGAGGACATCACGCGTCACGCCAGTTGCTCGAGTGGAATCCCCAGGGGAAGCGACGAGTTGGACGTCCCATCTGAGGGTGACATGGAGGAGACCGTGCGAGGAGGAAATGAGAGCTTGTGGGCTGTTGTGGAACCAGGTTGAAAAGATCTCAGAGAACAGAGGTCACTGGAGACGTGTTACTGAATCCCTATGTTCCACTAGGAACCCAAGGGACTAATAAATAATAATAATAATAAAGTCTGTTATAGTCACCATACATTTCGACAGGTACTTCGCACTAAGGACAGACAGACAGACAAAATCAACATGGGACTTGCCATTATTGTGTAACAATTCAAGTCGCCACACGTATCAGCACATCGAACAATAACATACTAAAATGAAAGAGAAAGCAGCCAAAAGTGGTAAAAAGTCACTAAAAAAGAGCAAAGAGGAATGAAATGCTACTGAATTTATTATAACGCTTAAGCTGAAAATAAGGTGTGTAATGGACAGCTACATCTCTCATCCAGTGGTGATCATTTCGTATACAGTTGTTCGTATAAAATTTTCTATATGTGTAACTATTAAATTTTGTTATGAAAATTCCTTCAAAAAACTTTTATCCCTTTACTGGGTTTCTTATGATGGGCTATCAATCGACCACTCACCAAAATGTCGTTTTCCTGGTTAGAAGCTATGTCATTCCTAGGTAACGTTTCAGACATCTAATATCATATGTCTCATCTGAACTATTCACTCAAAAACTAAAGTAGATATCTAGTCATAATAGTAACTCAGTAACCTGTTAAACTAGCTTACCACATCTCGTACGCAATCGATTGCTCCTACCTTGCATATCATAATGATCCAAATAGTTACGCCGTTGAGAAAAGTTATTGCTTGAAGTCTTACCATACTAAAAAGATTTGTTAGACAAAAGATGGTGGGCATCATGATATAAATAGCTATGGTGTGATGAGGGTTCATGATCAAAGTTGTACTGCTGAGTGACTAGGGTGTGATAACAGTAAGGTGTTTCCGATGAATGACCTCTAGTTCATGCTGATACTTCTTCCTCTGTGGAAGAGGTCACGTTGAAAACAACCCCCCTACCCCCCCCCCGAAAGTGTCACATTCCTTCCTGTTGTACGGTATTCCGGTGCTAACGGTGCTTTTTTCCTAGTTGAGTTTCAAACAACCAAAGTTTAATCTCAAATTCCACCAAGTTCATGCGTGATCTGCTTCAAACAGATATCCTTAAGCTCTGTGGTCACTAACCAATATTACTAGTACGATTTCTTTGTTAGATACCTCAAGAAGCAGTAAACTGCCATGGTGTGGACACCCGGGAATTTTCAACCGCCCCGCGTTTGTTGTTCAACTGAATGGTATAGTGTGAACTGAAAAGAACAGTGAAACTTACTGTTTTCTGCTTGAATATCCATAGACTGTAGTTTTGATGAAGTGACCGATAAAATTTACCGGCAATTGTCTAGTCTTCTGAAAGCCAAACATTGAGATGTAGTCATCGTGACATGCGATTTCACTGCACAGGTAGAAGGGCCAAGTCAGACAAAAAGATACTTGAAGGCACTTTCGGGATTCCAGCCAAAAAAAAATGGATACCAGCAACTGACTTCTACAGCTTTGCCCTGACAACCTGCTATTTCTGGCCAGCACGAACTTCAGGAACAAAGAGACTTTGACGGGCTGTCCACCGGTATCAGCTCAACGCTAGACATATAGACCGTATTCCTATCAGTTATCACTGGAAATATTCTGTGGGAATTTTCATTTACTGGAGCACGCGTTAGTACAGTAATCATGCCTAAATGGACGTAGGAAAAGTAAGCTACAAACCATTCTTAACGTACCCCGTTGATAAAAACCCCAAAGTTACTCTGCACGAGGAACTGGCTGTACAGTTATCGGAACAAAATGATGTCACTCGTCCGCAAGAATCGGGATGCCGTCTCCAATCTGCTGTAAAATAGGTGTTAAGGGCCGTGACCGACAGTTAGAAAAAGGTTGAAGACGGTCAGTGAGTTCCATTCGTTTCTTCAGAGTTAATAGTGCACGTGTACGCATTCCTGCCGGTTCCAAGTATAATAAAGAGCAGAGGCAACTCAGTTGTAGCAGAGTCTACGCAGTGACCCTTATCTTGTGTGTTTTGACCAGATCTTCATTCTCTTTCAGGTTGTGGGACACAGATACATCTGCAGGAGCCTGATACTAGTTGGGTTTCTTAACAGGAAGTTTGCATTCGACTCTGTCGATCAAGAGGTCTTATGGTAGCATCTCTCACCGAAAGGGGTATCGAATAATTACATCACTCTGTAGAAGGCTCTGCATTCAAACAGTCGTGAGCATGTTACAGTTTATGATGGTGATGTATTGGGTAATTTGTGGACATTGAGTAGTTTCTGTCAAAGGTATCCACTTTCTCTATATTTTGATTTCAAGTTTTGCTTGTAGAAGTCTCGTTCTCCTCGTATGGGTTCACCTAATATAGACGTTTTTACAAGAGACTTTTTAGTAGATCTAAAGTACACGGATAACATAGGCTTACACCTTGAGTGGCAGTTTGAGAATGTCTTGAGATAGGTCCCTCACCACCCAAACGCACATTGGTGCAGACTTTGTGGATGGGGTAGGATTCCGACGTGTAACCTATTGACTGAAAGGAGATTGTTTCACTCAATCAGCTACATTTCATAATGTATACTAATGTATATCATCTGTTTATTTTAGTGTATTTTCATTCTACAGGTGATCACATTCATTGATTTAGCTGGTCATGAACGTTATTTGAAGACAACCATATTTGGTATGACTGGACACGCACCAGATTACGTAATGTTTATGGTTGGTGCTAATGCAGGTGTCATCGGTATGGCTAAAGAACACCTGGGTTTAGCATTAGCTTTGTGTGTACCAGTGTTTGTTGTTGTAACTAAAATTGATATGTGTCCACCGAATGTATTACACGAGACAATGAATTTATTATTTCGTATATTGAAATCACCTGGTTGTAGAAAGATACCAGCACTGATATCTTCAGCGTAAGTCTTTTTACTATTATTATTATTATCATTATCATTATTATTATTTGTTCTTCGGGTTCCTAGTAGAACATAGGGCGTCAGTAGCACGTCTCCATTTCACTCCGTTCTCTCCAGTCTTTTAAACCTGGTTCCACAACTGTCCAGAAGCTTTCATTCCTTCCTCACACCATCTCTTCCATGTCACCCTGATACACCCAACTCATCGTTTCCCTTTAGGTCCCAATCGACGGTTTGGCCTGGTGCATAATTTCCCCAAATGGTCTACTGACTGTATGTCCAATCCACTCCATCTCCACTTTCGTTTGCACATTTGTTGGGCGATGGGTTGTTGGTTGCTTCGTTGCCAGCCAGTCGGCCAGCCAGACAGAAGAGTTACACCTTGCTACCATTCTTATTATACTGGCCATCTGATCTCATCTTCACTATCGAGTGAGCGTCGGTGGCAGCTATTGATAACGTATGTCTGCAGTTTGTTGCAAATGCCTTCGTAACGCACCGCCAACTCTGTGAATCATCACATAGAAGAACTGACTCACTTGACTGACATTAGTGTTGAAAATCTGGATCTCGTTCATGCTTTACGCTGAGTGCAGTGGAGTGCAGTAGATCTCCACACTGATTATTTCAGAATAATGAGGGTCTGTGTTGCTATGTTTCCGATGCTGTCTTTGACATTCTCATGTGTTCCGCCGCCGCTGCCTGTAGTTGAAACGATGCTGCCTAGGTAGGTAGGTAAGTAGGTAGATGGGCAGGTAGGTGAAAGAGACAACTTTGTTTAGATTTCTCCTGTTGATGCTGATTGATATTAGTTGTTGTTGCTTGGGTTTCTTCATCACCTGTGTCTTCTCTACATCCACCTAAAGGAAATCCCATCTTCGCTGCCCCACCTCTTTTGCCAACTTGTTAGTTTTCACCTGTAGATCTTCGAGTTTGTGCAGCAAGGCATCAGTCATAAATCATCATCGGTGAAATCCAAATCTTCTTCTGGGGTCTTTTCATCTGTGCAGCCAGCTTATGCTCATATTCTTGCTCCTCACAGTTTATTACATGTTCCAGTCCAGTCGACCACAATCAGGAAGATGATCGGTGACAGTAGGCGGCAACCTTGTCTTACTCCTGTTTTCACTTCCAAGGCATCACTGACCCTTCCATTGTTAATCATATGGGACGTAGTATCATATAGTATGTAGTTGTTGAATGATGTTGATAACGGTTAGTGGCACTAAAACTGTAGTGTTGAAACAGCTGCTAAATGACTTCTCGGTCGACGCTAACGAATGTCTTTTCAAAGTCGATGAGGTTGAGGTAAGGAGTTGACCGCCATTCTACGCTGTGTTGTATGATGATGCATAGCGTGGCGTTGCGATTTGATCCGCACATGATTTGTTCTTCCTGAACCAACTTAGGTCTAACTCTCACTCACCAACCACTTGTTTGCTTATTCTCTAGGCAATGTATTGTACTTTTTATGTTTAGGACCCAGTCATCAATTAGTTGAAAACGAACTGATCAAATTTATGCACCACTTTGTGTGATACCTAGCTGCTTCATGTCATCTAATCAATCATTTCATTGTAAACTGGGATTCTTCTTTCACTCAACTTCATACTCATCGACAAACTAATGACATAGCTATTCGCTGGGGTCTCCAAATGCTATGACGATTATGTGTTACTCTTTGGGGGGGGGGGGGTTGTAGGGATTTAGTGGGGGGTTCTTTTCAAGCTGGTATTCATCATGTACTGACATCACTTGAAGGAACATTGGGAACCTGGGAGTACTGGGCAGCTGTTTTTATCCTAGTGTGAAACTCCTCAGCATTTCATACCTGTGACTAGGGTTCAAACCCATGAATACCAACTTGAAAAAATTTTTTAATCTCGCCACAAACCTCCAAATTCAATTGATCCAGTGCTCATTGGTGACTACCTTCAATAGGTGATTGCTGGAGTTCCAATGAGAAGTCGTGACCAGTTGGATATGCCTGTGGGCCGTGAGGACAAATACTCAACGATGGTATTGGGTAATGGTCACGCTATGTCGTAAATTGACAGAAGTTGGAAATATGGACCACTGGGTTCCGACCCAGTGGCCTAAATGGTAACGTGCTAGTCACTGATGGTAGTCTATGATGAATACCAACTTGGAAATTTTTTTACGTCATTAGATATAGTTGAATTTTAACCAAAAGCCATTTTTCCCCTCCTTGGAGCATCCTCAGAACTTACGACAGGTAGGTATAAGTCCAGTAGTCATTCAATCGCTTCAGTGAATGGTTTATTAAAACTCTGCTGATATTAAATTGAGGCTATCTGTTAGGCAACTTAGGATTTATCTGTATGATTATCGATTGATGAGGTCAATAACTGTTTTTCTAGATTTTGTCGGAAGTTGTAGTGGTAGTACGTTGAAGATTCAGATGCATGCATCTCAGAGAATCTGTCTCAAAGATGTAACCTCGGAGATGAGTAATCTAGCTAATGGACAAACAAGATATGACTTGAAAACTAACCCAACTAACATAAGAAGAAGATAATGTTCAACTGAAACAAGTTTACTCCAATCAAAGTATAAAGTACAACCCAAGGATACAAAAATCTTGCGTTTATATACACTGCATGCAAGCTTGAGGCGAATAAACAAGATTGCATATTAGAATTAATATTAAGGAGTAAAACTTGTGCACTGTGGTAGAATGTAATTCCATTTGTATTGATTTATTAGATTTATCGCACAGTGAAGGAACAGTATTGTTGACTGGATTATGTTTCGGACATAATTTATGTTGTCCATAGTCATATATCAGTCCCAGTTTACTCGCCCCTTTTGTCATATGGGTAGTAATATTTTGCATATATCCGGAACATGTGCAGAGTCATTCCTGTTGCTGCATATTTTAGGTGTTGATTCGATGAATCAAAATTCAGTTATCCATCTCACCCTCCATCCCGCTGGGTTAGTTTTACGGATTTTCACCCTGTCCTATCCTATTGTGTGTAATTGCATGCATAGCTATGGCTGAGCTTTTTTCTAAATTCCTTATCTTCCTAGGATCTACCAATTTTGACATAGCTAAGTTTTTGTGTTCCGATAGCCTAATTGATCCTGGTCGACTACTTTGACCTATGTATTTGACCTCGCAATCGTTGCAAGGGATTTGGTGAACTAAGTTATTCTGCTTAATTGGGTCAATAGGATCTTTTAACCTACAAAGTTTATTTCGAAGTGAGTTTGTAGGTTTAAATGCCACTCTGATCCCAGCCTTATGAGAATCCTACGTAGTGTTTCTGAGGTGCCTTCTTTGTATTGTGGAAATACTGTAGAGGTTTTGAATTCCGTATTCACAGAATTGCCGCTAATATTATTAACATCATTATTACTATTATTGTTGTTGTTATTACTACTATTAATAACTGTGTTACTGATAGTTTTCTTACAATTCCTAAGGAGTTTATCAATTAATTTCGGAGGGTCATTGTTGATGATTAAGGCGTCTTTAATGTATCTGGTTTCTTGTTTTAGATCTTCTGTTTTACTAGTAAGTTTTTTGGCCCTGTTACTTAGACACTTTACTAAGCCAACTTTAACTGACACAGGGTGAGACCATTTGAAGTCTAAGTAACGATTTGAATGTGAAGATTTTCTATAGACACTAGTAAGTCTAAACTCTCATCTTGTTTCCGTTTTATGCGGCAATCCAACATCGCTAATTCTCCTTCACTATTTTCTAATTCATAGGTGAAAGTGGATTGCGTTAACTACTGAATTTATATGTGTGAAGAAATTATGTATGTGTTCCGATTTCAACACTGTAAATATATCGTCTACATAGCGAAACCATATTTTTGGAGTTGGATTAGATTTTTCTACAGCCATCCCCGTTCCCAACTATCCATAAATATGTCAGCCACAATAGGGGATATTGGTGATCCTAGTAAACAATACTGTTCACACTGTATGATAAGTCTAATAAATCAATAAAAATGGAATAGCATATTAGAAGCAGAAGATTAACCAATAGGAAAACAGCATTATCAAAAGGGGTGCAATTGAGTGATACATATATATATATATATATATATATATATATATATATATATATATATATATATATATATATAATTATATATATATATATATATATATATATATATATATATATAATTTGAATTATTTTTTCCGCGCCACATGTATCACTCAATTGCACCCCTTTTGATAATGCTGTTTTCCTATTGGTTAATCTTCTGCTTCTAATATGCTATTCCATTTTTATTGATTTATTAGACTTATCATACAGTGTGAACAGTATTGTTTACTAGGATCACCAATATCCCCTATTGTGGCTGACATATTTATGGATAGTTGGGAACGGGGATGGCTGTAGAAAAATCTAATCCAACTCCAAAAATATGGTTTCGCTATGTAGACGATATATTTACAGTGTTGAAATCGGAACACATACATAATTTCTTCACACATATAAATTCAGTAGTTAACGCAATCCACTTTCACCTATGAATTAGAAAATAGTGAAGGAGAATTAGCGATGTTGGATTGCCGCATAAAACGGAAACAAGATGAGAGTTTAGACTTACTAGTGTCTATAGAAAATCTTCACATTCAAATCGTTACTTAGACTTCAAATGGTCTCACCCTGTGTCAGTTAAAGTTGGCTTAGTAAAGTGTCTAAGTAACAGGGCCAAAAAAACTTACTAGTAAAACAGAAGATCTAAAACAAGAAACCAGATACATTAAAGACGCTTTAATCATCAACAATGACCCTGCGAAATTAATTGATAAACTCCTTAGGAATTGTAAGAAAACTATCAGTAACACAGTTATTAATAGTAGTAATAACAACAATAATAATAGTAATAATGATGTTAATAATATTAGCGGCAATTCTGTGAATACGGAATTCAAAACCTCTACAGTATTTCCACAATACAAAGAAGGCACCTCAGAAACACTACGTAGGATTCTCAATAAGGCTGGGATCAGAGTGACATTTAAACCTACAAACTCACTTCGAAATAAACTTTGTAGGTTAAAAGATCCTATTGACCCAATTAAGCAGAATAACTTAGTTCACCAAATCCCTTGCAACGATTGCGAGGTCAAATACATAGGTCAAAGTAGTCGACCAGGATCAATTAGGCTATCGGAACACAAAAACTTAGCTATGTCAAAATTGGTAGATCCTAGGAAGATAAGGAATTTAGAAAAAAGCTCAGCCATAGCTATGCATGCAATTACACACAATAGGATAGGACAGGGTGAAAATCCGTAAAACTAACCCAGCGGGATGGAGGGTGAGATGGATAACTGAATTTTGATTCATCGAATCAACACCTAAAATATGCAGCAACAGGAATGACTCTGCACATGTTCCGGATATGAATCATCATATCGATGCGGCATGTTCGAAAATTTATAATACGGTAACATTCTCATTGTGTACAATTTTTATCCATGGAATGATACACATTTTTAAGTCAAACAAATAATTAACTATGAAGCATAGTTTAGTGTATGAAGATGAGGGGATTAGCTCATTATTATTATTATTATTAGTCCCTTGGGTTCCTAGTGGAACATAGGGATTCAGTAGCACGTCTCCAGTGACCTCTGTTCTCTGAGATCTTTTCAACCTGGTTCCACGACAGCCCAGAAGCTCTCATTTCCTCCTCACACCATCTCCTCCATGTCACCCTCAGATGGGACGTCCAACTCGTCGCTTCCCCTGGGGATTCCACTCGAGCAACTGGCGTGACGCGTGATGTCCCCAGTCGGCCTTCTCAGTGTATGCCGAATCCATCTCGACTTCCTTCCACTGCATATTTGTTGGGTGATAGGTTCTTGGTTGGTTCGTCACCAACCAGAGTTCCTTGTTGCTTATTCTGGTTATTCTGGCAATCCATCTGATCTTCAGTAGCGAGCCAGTGTAAGCAATTGTTGATGATGTTTGTCTGTAGTTTATTGGAAATCCCTTTCGTGACGCACCAAGTCTCTGAGCCATACAGAAGCACAGACTTGACTGGGTTGGTGTTGTAAATCCGGATCTTGTTCCACATGCTGAGTGCAGAAGATCTCCACACTGGTTTCAGGCTAATGAACGAAGGCCTGTCTTGCCGTGTTTCCGATTCTGACTTTGACATCCTCGTCTGTGCCTGTGCCGCCTGTAGTTGAAACAGTCCTGGCTGCCTAGATAGCTGAAGGAGGTTACTTCCTTTAAGTTTCTCCCGTTGATGGTGACTGGAGTTTGTTGTTGTTGTTGATGGTGGTGGTGCGGTATCTTCATCACCTCTGTCTTCTCTATATTCACTTGAAGTCCCGTCTTCGCTGCCTCTTCTGTCAACTTGTTAGTTTTCGCCTGTAGATCTTCAAGTTCATGTGACATCAGGCACAAGTCATCGTTGGCGAAATCCAGATCTTCTAGATTCTTTTCCGCAGTCCAGCCAGCGTATCCCCCTCTTCTTACTCCCCACTGTAGGGGATTAGCTTAAGCATACACGAATTCTCAATAACTGTGTCTCACATTGAAATTCCACTCCAGGAATTTCAATATAGGAAAGCAGTTTGTGTTGTAAACACTCATGCCCTAGCAACACGTGTTGAGTTAACCTGAGTTTATATTCTATGTATTCATGCGACGAGAATGCCAATGATGATATTTTATTGAATGCACCTTTGTCACTGTCAGTTCTGCTTCCTGTGTATGTTCTGTCTGTAAGAGTAAAAAAAAGGGAGCCATCAAGCGTGTAGAATCTCTGTTACTCATCTGGTTCAACTTAGTAATAACCTGTTTTTTCACTGTCTATTTATATGTTTTAGTACTTTAAGCTTATGAAACGTTTTTCACTGAAATCAACTTAGATTTGTTTTTTCGGGGAAAGCTGCTAAATTGTTAAATATGTCTGTTATATGAGCAACTAACCAGATTGTGTATAACTTCCATGTGTTATTCAATGACTCTTATTTGCTATAAATTGATTCCGTTCAATGAATTACACCTTTTCAGGCCTTTTATATTCTCATATATTTTGGAAACACATAGTTTTCATACTTACATTATGTTACCTAACGTGAATGGGTTCCGGTTTATTGGATCAATAGGAGTAGTAGTACATTTACCAATTATTCAGTCACCAAATGGATAGTAGTTTTTAAATAAATAAACAGACTTTTATATCTCCTGTCCATTTCAGTCTAGGAGCTGTGGTTTATTGGTTTTGGGGAGATGACAAACAACCATTGGGTCGTGAGCTCGAACCCCCTTCCATCTACATAGATTTCGCTAGCCAGATAGTATCATTAGCCCTTATACAATAGGTGTAGCTGGTTGTCTACTGTGTGGATAGTTACAAGGTGGCTAAGTGTGTTTCGTTTCATTCATTGCTGATAAGTTCAGTCCTTAACAAGTATAAAATGATCCTCATATGTTTACATCACTGATATTTACTCGGCAACATTAGATATAGTATCTAATGTTTCTATTGTCCATCTACTCACTGTTTTTTGATTAGCATATTTCATTCGTTATTTTTTCTCTCTCTTTTTTTTATCATCTGCAAACTCCAGTGATGATGTCATCTGTTGTGCAACAAATTTCACCTCAGAACGTATGTGCCCAATTTTTCCAGTATCAAATGTCAATGGAACAAATTTGGACTTATTGAAATTATTTCTTAACCTGCTTCCATCACGTTCTGAACCACGCTTAAATGAATTTGCCCATTTTCAAGTAGATGAAATATTTTCTGTTCAAGGTGTTGGTACAGTAATATCTGGTACTTGTTTATCTGGTGTCATTAGGTTAAATGACACTTTATTACTTGGTCCAGATTTATCTGGTCAATTTAATCCTGTCTCAATTAAAAGTATACAGCGTAAACGTTTATCAGTGAATTATGTACGTGGTGGACAGACAGCATCATTCGCTTTAAAAAAATTACGACGTAATCAAGTTAGAAAGGTATGTATTTGTGTATGATTGTTGTTATGTAATGAATTTCGAGGACTTTTTATTTTAACTGATCCATACATACATTGATTCTTATGGTACAGTCGTTTGGATACTACAGTCTACAGGCAATCGACACATTCGGACAGGTATCTAGACTTCAAGTTATCTCATGTAATGTCAGTTGAGATAGGATTAGTTGAATGTCTAAATGACATAACTAAAAACTGACTAGTCATTGTAAGGACTGAAACAAGGAAGTAAAGCACATCAACGAAGAACTAATCATCATCATCATCATAGGATCATCCGTTACTGCGTAATGGTCCAAGTTCCCACGCCACATACCACTCTACATCAAATAAAAAGTCAGGGAAGTAGAAGATGAAGAAAAGAAAATTCAGTTGAAAGAAATGTAGAATACGAAAAGAGAGAAAGGAAGAATTATAAAATGGTGATATTCGGTATAGTGTCATTAAGATGAGGATAATACGTGCATACATCTGTGTCACTGACATCGGTTCTGAGCTATGCCATTACCTATAGTCTCCAACCACTGGTTTCTCTTGTCCTGCCGACCGCAACCGGCTAGTCTGCATCGTCCCACATGCCTCAAACCAACAGTCAGACGTCATACATTGATGCCATGTTTTAGTCTGGCCACCTTGGGCCGTTTTCCAGTCTGAACCTACTTCGGCCAACATTATATGACGAGGCAGACGGTGGCTAGACATACGTAAAACATGTCCCAACCATCTCAGTCGATGGAGGTTCATAACCTCGTCAACTGATTTAACTCTTCTCCCTAAAACTCTACACCTGAGCCTGACTTCTGCGTTACTCAGGTGGTGGTGACACCATGGAATACGTCTTATACTACGAAGGCAACGGTGGTTAAACACTTGAAGCCTTCTCATGTCTTCCACCTTCAATGGCCATGTTTCACATCCATACAGTAGGGCAGAGCGGACTGCTGTGCAGTATACGCGACCCTTAATAGACAATCGGGTATCACGGTGGCGCCACAGGGGCGCCTCAATTAAAAGTATTCAGCGTAAACGTTTATCAGTGAATTATGTACGTGGTGGACAGACAGCATCATTCGCTTTAAAAAAATTACGACGTAATCAAGTTAGAAAGGTATGTATTTGTGTATGATTGTTGTTATGTAATGAATTTCGAGGACTTTTTATTTTAACTGATTCATACACACATTGTTTCTTATGGTACAGTCGTTTGGATACTACGGTCTACAGGTAATCGACACATTCGGACAGGTATCTAGACTTCAAGTTATCTCATGTAATGTCAGTTGAGATAGGATTAGTTGAATGTCTATACGACATAACTAAAAAACTGACTAGTCATTGTAAGAACTGAAACAAACAATTGAAACACATAAGATACTTTAATAGTTAATAATTATCCTCCACCGTTTATTAAGAAATTCGTACGGACATACAAGAAACGAAATAATAACAGTAACACGAGTACGAATAATAACGACAATATGATTAGAAAGGAGTTCACAGCCTCGATTATGTTACCATATAAGGAAGGTACATCAGACACTTTACGTAGGATTAGGGTGACATTTAAACCTACAAAGTCACTCAGAGATAAGCTTTGTCTACTGGCTTATGGATCAGACAAAACCAATTAAGTAAAATAATTTAATCAATCAAATTCTATGTAATGACTTCGAGGTCAAGTATTATAGGTCAAACTAGCCGGTCAAGATCAGTTAGATTATTGGAACATAGGAATTTAGTTAAATATAGAATGACAGACCCGAATAAGATCAATAATCTCGAAGAGAATCTCGGCTATTGCCATGCATGCACAACCACACAATAGGGTGGATGGGATAAAACCACTGTACTTTAGTAAAATGTAATTAAGTAGAGAAAGAGGTTGATTACTGAATCTTTGTTCATCGAATCAACACGCATTACATGTAATAGAAATGATACAACACCTATACCAGAGATATGGAAAACTTTGCTACCAATAAAAACAATGAATATCATGCAACAGGACTATAAAGATCAGATATCGAAAGTGGAGTGTGATTACACATTGATATGATTATGAACAACTGAGAATTTATGCTTGAAACGTCATCTAGTGAATGATACTGTATCAGTGTGCGTTGTATATCAAATAAGCAAATCTAATTTGCTTTTACCTTGTTGAATGGTGTTCGTGGTCTATCAAAAAAGGCCTGACAATACAATGACAATTAAAAGAAAAGTAAATGACCGTACGGTTCTTCTAAGTCGAAAAAAACGTTACCACAAAACTGCTTTTGCCTTGCATTATAATTGGTCATATCTTGGTTGTATTGTGTTCTTTGAGGTGGGTTGTTTAATCGTGAAGAAGCTTTCATCGTCCTTCTAGACAGTGACATCATCAGTACTAACTTCAGTATGAAGTGAGTGAGCTGTCAATATCTCTCTGTGAGTGATTTAGTGGCTTGCTCTGACGATATGGTCTGTGGTTGGTTGTTTCCTTTGATTGTTGTGTTGTTGACTGTATAGATTTTCCTGTTGGCTCTCCCTCTGCTTGACCTCTGACCTTTCCGTCGAAATTGAATTCAATTTCAGAGAATTCCTAGAAGCTTGGCACTCAGGTCAGTCAGTCAGCGATCAACAGATGTATAGATATAGACCCATTCTGTCAACTAATGAGAAAAATGATAAACGACAGAAAGGTCAGAGGGAGTACCAACAAAAAAATCTGTACAGTCAACGACACAACAATCAAAGTCAAACTACCAAATCGCTTACGGTGAGATATTGACAGCTCACTCACTTCATACTGAAGTTAGTGCTGATGATGTCGTGTAGCAAGACGATGAATACTTCTTCACGATTAAACAACCCAGCTCAGAGAACACAATACAACCAAGATCATCCACCTGAGCTACAAATATTCTCCACTATTTCATAATTGGTCATATCTTGCAAAATCCTGTACCATTAAATTTTATGCTATCCAGGAGTAAATGTTCAATATTATGGACTAACAGCATACAGCATCTACATGTAATATATGCATATTTCCTATACTAATCAGTTTCTAATAAATCAAATAATGCTTAATGCGAAAATGACAATCATTCTCTGTCTGATTTCGGTGTTACTTGCATGATACTGTGGCTCATTGATTTAAGCACTCAAATTTCAAGCAACTAGTCTACGGTTCATATCCTGCTCTACTCACTTCCCCTTGGGCTACTCTATAAGAACTCATACAATTAGTATGGCTCATAACCTAGAGCATAAATCTATACTGGATTAGGTTGTTTTTGTTTGTCTGTTTTGATTAATTACATGATCTGCTGTGAGATGTTAGCATGTTGTCTTTTATGACCATGCTGAATTTATTCACAAAGTTGTGCTTCAATGCCTATTTTAGGCTTAACAACGGTTTTTATAGATAAATAATAAAAAAGATAGACTAGTAAATCAACATAGAAGCTTACATAGAAGTTTATCAGTTCAAGTTATCGTAATCCACAACAAAATCCAAAGAAGTAGATAGAAAAAAACAAACAAAGTAATTATCATGAAGTAGACGAAAGTGTGTGGAAGAGAGGATATATGTTTCAAGGTTAATGAATAACAATGAATGAAACGTATTCGGCCACCTTGTAGGCAGTCAGCCACACCTATTGTATGAAGGTTAGTGATATTACCTGGCTGCATAAACCTCTGTAGGCAAAATAGGGTTGATAGTTATCTCCATAAACCATTGAGCCACAACTGTTAACATAACAAAATGTATATACATCTGTACCATTGTGATCGGTTTTCAGCTATATCACCAAGAATAGTCACCAATCGTTAAGTCTTATTATGTCAAGGATGAATGTTGATGACAGCATTGACAGATGTTATCGAGGAAGTTCATATACTGAGAACAATTATGTTCAGGTTATTTTTGACCTTTTTCAACTATTGAAATCAGTGACTGATTTTTTTTAAACCATTCTGACGTAGGTAACCAAATATGTAAATCACAATAGTTAGTGGTCTTTAACATTTTTCCTGGTTCAATAGGATATTTCGTTAGCGTATCACATATTTAACTTAATAGAGAATTGGTGAAGGATTGCCGCTCTTTCTAACTCTAATCATGCGCTAGTATCGGCTCGTGTGTGTCTACACCTTCCGGGTCAGAGGAAACAAATGTTTATACTCTGTTAGAAGATGAGGACACCAAATACGTATTTAGGGAAGAGTTAGCTAAGGAAACCTGGAGTGATATAGTCTGTTTTAGCAATAGCGATAAAGACAACTGGTAACTTCCGTATGAAAGTTAACAAAAGTCATTGAATTTTCACGACATCATCCGAACTGATTGATGTGAGAAAAGGGATTCCAGCTGGTTGTAACCGTGATGAAGAGCGAAAGCAACTTAAACGGAATTTGTGATGAACAGTCTTTGCAATGATCATGAGCAGTGGTGGTGGGTAGCGAAAGCAAGCAAGAGGAATGGAGAAGGCATCAGCGTTGGGAAAGTCGCCTTCCCACTGGGATTTCAACCTTAGTTGTTTACCTCTGAAGTCAGACAGTGTTGAGGTATCTCGGTCATCACTGAGCATAATGGTTGCCATACATAAGCTGATTTCTGTACATTGTCCACTGTAATATGTAGAATGAGCTAAATTACGGGGGATTTTGTGACAACTTTTTGCCTTGTAACATTTAATAACATGTGTTCAGTTTCTCCCAGCTTTTATAACATATCTTGTTAGACCACGCATTTTTTACCTTTTGTGCGGCTATACACCGTAAAACTTTTAATTTACTGATGGTATTGTACTTTAGTCAGTTAAGAAGGCTGTTGTGCAGCATATGAGTTATTTACCATTCAGCCATCAGTCTATAAAAAAAGCATAGTATGTGACTCTACTGAAGTTCGACTTAGTCTAATTTTCAGGTTCTTATTCATCATGGACTGACATCAATTGGAGAGACATTGAGAACTTGGGGGCACTAAGCAGCTGTTTCATTCTAGTATGGGACTCCTCAGCAGGGCTCACCCAGGATCCCTGGGTCCTGTGACCATCACGTTACCATTGAGCCAGTGGATCGGAATCCGTTGGTCCATATTTCCTACGTCTGTCAGCTCACTATATAGCACAACCTTTATCTGATGTTTCCGTTGAGTCCTCATTCCTGACTTCGTTCGCTCCACCGGTCACGATTGTTCATTAGAACTTCGGGAATCTCATTTCGAAGCAAGTCACCAACTAGCACCAGATTTATTTGATTTGAAGGTTTATGGGGATTACTTGTTGATTTCAGGTTGGTATTCATCATGAACCGATATCAGTTGGAGAAGTATTAGAAACATGGGGGAGGACTGGATAGATGTTTCGTCCTAGTATGGAACTCTTCAGCAGTGCGCAATCATTGTATTCTGACCCAGTGGCTCAATCCTAACGTGTTGGCCGGCGAACCTGGAGGGATCACTTGTACCCACTGCTGAACAGTCCCATACTGGGACAAGTTTTCAATGTTTCTCCAACTGATCTCATTCTGTGATGAATAACCTTGAACCTTGAAATCTACAAATAATCTTCATAAACCTTCAAATTGAATTCATCTAACTTCCTTTACAATTGTATTTGCTGCTTTTCAATAATATCATTTCTTTCTACTTATGTATTTAATAATTATTGACATCCATTCATATATATATGTGTATATGTATAGGGTATGGTATTGTTAGCACCAGAATTGAAACCTAAAGCATGCATTGAGTTTATCGCAGAAGTACTGATATTACATCATCCAACAACTATATCTGTCGGTTATCAAGCAATGGTTCATGCTGGTCCAGTACGTCAAACTGCCACTATATTAAAATTGAATTCACATGAACGTTTACGTACAGGAGATAAAGATATGGTTGTTTTTCGATTTATCAAGTGTCCAGAGTATTTATATAGTGGTTTACGTTTAATATTTCGTGAAGGAAAAACAAAAGCTGTTGGTAAGTTAAAAAAAAAAAAGAGAGAAATTTCTTGCTTGTAATGTTTCTATTATGCTATTATAAGAGTTGCTTTGTTCTCTAAGAAATGTCATTTAATAGCGATATTTACTAACATTACTATAAGTATACTGTTCGGAAGTGTTTGTAATTTCTACTGGAATGTCTTAACTAGACTATGTTGGGGTGGATTATGAATCTCTGACCTAATGATTACCATTTAAGTAACTAAACTGCTGGGTTCGCAAACGACGTCCGTAGAGTATTCACCTTATCATGATCATCTATTTTGTTGTTATTTGGTACATCCTTATCATTCTCAACTATCGTACACAAGGGTAAGTGTGGATATTGTTTATAACGAGAGTCGTGAGTTCATTTACCCTAACTAACACTTTTACTCAGAAAGGTAAATGATCTTACCGATGTTATTATTATTATTATTAGTCCCTTGGGTTCCTAATGGAACATAGGGATTCAGTAGCACGTCTCCAGTGACCTCTGTTCTCTGAGATCTTTTCAACCTGGTTCCACGACAGCCCAGAAGCTCTCATTTCCTCCTCGCACCATCTCCTCCATGTCACCCTCAGATGGGACGTCCAACTCGTCGCTTCCCCTGGGGATTCCACTCGAGCAACTGGCGTGACGCGTGATGTCCCCAGTCGGCCTTCTCAGTGTATGCCGAATCCATCTCGACTTCCTTCCACTGCATATTTGTTGGGTGATAGGTTCTTGGTTGGTTCGTCACCAACCAGAGTTCCTTGTTGCTTATTCTGATTATTCTGGCAATCTATCTGATCTTCAGTAGCGAGCCAGTGTAAGCAGTTGTTGATGATGTTTGTCTGTAGTTTATTGGAAATCCCTTTCGTGACGCGCCAAGTCTCTGAGCCATACAGAAGCACAGACTTGACTGGGTTGGTGTTGTAAATCCGGATCTTGTTCCACATGCTGAGTGCAGTGCAGAAGATCCCCACACTGGTTTCAGGCTAATGAACGAAGGCCTGTCTTGCTTTTCCGATTCTGACTTTGACATCTTCGTGTGTGCCTGTGGCGCCTGTAGTTGAAACAGTGCTGCCTGCCTAGATAGGTGAAGGAGGTTACTTCCTTTAAGTTTCTCTCGTTGATGGTGACTGGAGTTTGTAGCTGTTGTTGATGGTGGTGGTGCGGTATCTTCATCACCTCTGTCTTCTCTATATTCACTTGAAGTCCCGTCTTCGCTGCCTCTTCTGTCAACTTGTTAGTTTTTGCCTGTAGCTCTTCAAGTTTATGTGACATCAGGCACAAGTCATCGCTGGCGAAATCCGAATCTTCTAGGTTCTTTTCCGCAGTCCAGCCAGCGTATCCCCCTCTTCTCGCTCCCCACTGTTTGCTGCATGATCCAGTCCAGTTGACCACAATCAGGAATATCATGGGGGATAGTAGGCAACCTTGCTTCACTCCTGTCTTCACTTCGAAAGCATCACTGAGCTTCCCATTGTGAATTACTTGGCATGTGGCGTCTTCATATTAGTTATTACCGATGTATAAGGTCATAATTCAAGTTTTCTTCATACTTCATTCATCGTGAACGAAACTCATTTAGCCATCTTATACACATCCATGCAATTAGCAATGAACCACACCTCTTGTGTGAGAACTAGAAATACTACCTTATTTCCGAAACCTCTGTACGAGGGTTGGGGTTCGAACCCATGACTTATTGGTTGAAAGTCATCTCCTTTAACCATTGAACCTTAGCTTTACATGGTATCTGACTATCAGTTTGAGCCATGTTGAGAAACTAAACACTGAAATCGATGCTTAGTAACTCGAGGTGAAATGACTCCGAATCGATTTTGATGTTACAAATCCAATCGTTTCTCAACTTCATCGAAGTTGTAATGTCGTACATCTCTTCAATACTATATTATTCCTTTCTTTGTCATCCCTGTTTCTGGTTTCTGCTTCAATGGGATGATGTGAAGTATAGTAGTTTGAACCTTCGATCAGTAATGTCATATCTTATATTGCTAATGTCTGTTTTTCAATCGATTTAGGTTTTTTTAAAAAGGTGTTTCTAAGTAGATAGTGTGATACAAATCAAATAATTATGTTTACATAAGAGTTCTACGTAACAGTTGTTGAGGCAGTCATCATTTTCGGTATAGATACGAATAGGAAGCTAAAGTGTTATTGCTTGTATTATACCGCCGTTGATTGGATCGAATTGATCAGTTTCTGTTGGCATATAGGCTCCTGTGCGGATGCCTCTATATTGCCTGTGTTTCAATTATGTATAGTAATGATGGGCACCATTACTATACACACACACGCACAAGAAGTGGCTATCGTGGCTTGGTGGTGTTGTGGATAACGTTCTCGCGTTCGAAACGATCGCCCCCGTGTCCAAATCCCGGTGGGAACAACACTCACTGGGAAGCAGGTACATCCAGCTGATGAGTCCCAAATAGAACGAAATGCGCATCCTGGATTCCACTCCTAGTCACTGCCCATCATTACTATACATAAAGGAGGCTAAATGTTAGCCAAAAATTTCTCATGTTAGGATAAAATCTCAGCACAAATACAAAATATTCATATAACTGTACTAAATTATACCATTTATGAGGATGTTGAGATATTCGACTACTTGATGGGAGCAAGATTATGTTCTGTGGTTGATAAGTATGATTACTAAAGACAGTTTTTAGATCCAATACGTTTTTTCTAGCATCGCCCGCCCTGGATAGTATCACGGAGACATGATGTATGCATATGAGTTACCATTTACCTGAACTCAATGTGTTAAAGTGGTCAAACCAATTGATGATATTAATACACGACATTCTCGACTGTTGGTTTGAATTAAAATATCGCCCAATTAAGCAATTAATACCTAAAAAATGTAAGAAAGGATAACAAATTACCTTTATTGTTATACTACGGTAAAGTAAACATGTCTAATGGAATGTGCTTTATGTTGCTGGCTTAGAGTAATAACTCTTAGTATGCTTTCAGGTGACTGTAACTGTTGAGGAGGCTTTCAACGCTGAGAACCAAACTCGAATAGTATCATAAGCATTAGGCGCATCCATGCAGTCACCAATGAACCACACCTCTTGTATGAGAGCTAGAAATACTGCCTTACTGCCGAAACCTCTGTAGGAGGGTTGGGGTTCGAACCCATGACCTATTGGTTGAAAGTCATCTCCTTTTAACCATTGAACCTTAGCTTTACATGGTATCTGACTATCAGTTTGAGCCATGTTGAGAAACTTAACACTGAAATCAATGGCGCCAATTAAGAAAATGACGTCAGATAAAAATTATGTTTATAGAGATGACAATAAGTTTGAAATCAAATGTACTCATGTATGTTATTGACCTAAATTCTATTGGCCATCATTCCTATGATTATTGATAGTTGAGATATCGAATCTTACTTCTTTCCTTGATAAATTAGCTTAAACCAGTACATAGTAATGCCGTATCTCATGTCAATATTCAATTTAAGTATCAATGTAGTGGGCGTTGCTGATAAGAATGGATATAATTAGTATATATTTGAGAGAGCGGCAGAAACCACAGGGAATTGCCAGCAATCAGTAAAGATATCTGCTCAGAGAAACACAATAGACAGTACTGATGTATTAAGAGTGAAACAAGACAGAAGCAAAAGAGGAAATGAAGCACATTATGCAAATGACTGTCTTAGTGCAAGGTGTACCGTATTTCATGATGTCAATCATAAATAATCCTTCCTTCATCTCTGTCTTCTCATTTCGTTTATCAGGACTAAAATCTAGCCTAATTAAGCATTACAGAAGCAATTTTTAATGGTAAGTATTTTTAAAATCCCAATGAAGTAGATAGTTAGATTTCTGATGTTTCATGACCTCAAGAAAGTCTTCTCTCCAATGAGTTAGCACATATGTAAAACCAGTATCGGGGATAAATTAGATTATAGTATTCATGCTTACTTGTTGATCAAAACATCTTAATGTTTCTAATTCCTAGTTGGTCTATTCAAGGTGACATGCTGGGTAAAGACATTGACAAAATTCAAGGTCTTGTGAACGTGTCCCATGCGTTTCACACCTGTCAAATGTAAGATGATGCTTTAGGACTGGTCTACTCCAGTTACTCATAGTTTAATGATATGGAGTAAAGTAGTGGGATGTATCGACCATTTCCCTTGCTTGGGGAGTTGCTGACGACATCTCAGCTTGAATACATAGAACCATTTTCCAACTAGTGTGATTTTCGGTGCTTAATATCTATCAACAGACAAGTAGGTTGCGCTTCAATTCGTTTCGTCCCTTTATACGACTGTGAGACACTCGCTAAAAGTAGTAGATATGAAGTGATTACAGGGTTTTGATCATACGTTTTTTCGTAGCCATTTCTTGCGTTTGGTGGAGTCACCATGTTAGCAGTGTTGAAGTCAGGCGAAGGGTACTCAAAAAGACAGGTCGGCAAATCTATTGATGAAGTTGTGAACCTTAGTCGACTGTGATGACTTGGACATGTCCTGCACATGGCGATCCACCACCTACTTCGACGTACAATGCTAGGGAAAGTTGGATTAGATTGAGAGAGGGTTCAGAATGAGAGATGTAGACTACCTGGTTGGGGTCTTCGAGACGAAAAGAGATCGGTTGCAATAGCGCAGATGTATTCCCTTCTTGACGCCTCCTGAAGCTTGAATATTCACACTAACCTCTGTCTTCAGATTGTTAGTTGTCTCAGCTATATAGATTTGTCTACTTTGATATCACTTCTTTTCTATCCACCTGTTCTTTATGTACTACTGTGAAGTGTAGTAACTTGAACTGCTGCACTTGTGTACGAGGTTCTACGTTGATTTTGTCAGTCAGTGAACAACAATTCTATTCCTAAACATAGAATCTAAGCAACAGTCAAAGTCTTTATTGTCTATAATAAAGGAGTAGGCCTAGTTAAATTCATTTCGACAGTTAACTATTTTCAAGTAGGATATAAGTAATTAATTCACATTTTAGTTAGTCTACTTTAATACCACTTAATTTTTCTCTTCATTCTAGGTACTGTAAAAGAGCTAGTTCCGTATATCGCTCCAATTCAACAGAATCCACGTTCTAGAATGTTTAGAAAGTATCCTTTCAAGTCAACACAACCAACTTTGAATGCTGAAATAGATGATACGACAAAACTACAATCTTCGATTCCTACACCGACATCAAAATCCTCAGAGCTTATTAATCCTCCACCTGATACTGAATTCCCTAGTACACCAGTCTCTGATTTATTAAGCAATACTACTTCTACTAATTCAAGGCAACGCCGGCACCATCGTTTCCGTAAAGATATTCAAAATAACTCAACTTCAGGTTCTGCAAGTAGTACTCAACAGTCCGCAAAATCAAACAACTAGTTACTCCTTAAAATGGTACATTTCAATTATAAACTTAAAATATTCTTTCATAACTAAAGAAATGTTCTTTATATATCCAGTGTTTTGTAGTACATAATGAATCTTCAGTACCTGATACGTAACAGCTTTTATTGTTACGTCATTCATTTCACTCTATCTGAGTTAACTACTTATAATTAATTTAAGTAGTGTACTTATTTTTAACGCATTATTGTGTTCATTGTTGAGTTTTCCTGTTTAATTGCATTAACATTCACTTTTTCAATCTTCTGAGCGATTTCTTTCGGATTATTCCTTCCATACAAATATGAAAACATTTGTTTTGTCGTTTGAAATGTGTCCTTTTATATTGCCATTTTTCCAGAAAATAATCGCCATCTTTTGTTGTTCTTTGCTATATTTTCCTGTTTGAGTACGAGCACAATTTAAAGCGTTTACCCTGTCGTTTTCCTGGCACTGCGAGATATGAAGGCTTTTTCTTTTTCATTACAAAAGAAAAACACCATCGTATCGTTATGTGTTTTTACTTGTTTTGTATGTGTGTGTGTGTGTGTGTACATATGTAAAGTAATGAAAATGTCCTTGCATATAATAAATACCCGAAGAAATTGAAATATTCAGCGTTTTGTTTTCAGGTTATTTAACTTCTCTTTTGTTATCAGTTAATGGTTATCATGAATAACAGCGAATCCCAGAACGGTTAGTAAATGGCAACAACTTGTCACGATTGTATACATAGTGCAACTGAAGTTTCTCAAAGTGGAAAATGATAGAGATGGCAACTAAAATACTCATTCGATAAATAAATTACTAAATCAAACATGCAAAGCATTGTAAAACTATAGCTTAATCTAATTCCAGAGTGTAATAATGATTCAATCAGACTCAGTGTTCAACTTCTTCCAGGACATTCGTAATAAATATGCTAAGCATTATTGGTTAAGCTCACCTAGATGAACACTTTCGACTTGAATAACAAATGAGAGGGGAAGTAATAAAAAATGATGGAAACAAATATGAATTAAAAATAGGTTGACTACGACTTCTTTTCAAACAAATTACTAGCCTGTTTGGGTTTTTCCGCATCAGAGGCCATTCGCCAACAGAGGTTGAGCAATTCGACTCTGTATAGCAACAGGAAATTATAAGTATATCATATAGCTATTACAGGGACATGTAGCTGGAACAGCAAATTTTTATACTGGATGAATAAACTTCCATCACCAAACTTACATGTACTTTTTATCCGACCCACGTGCAACAACATACAAACTAGATGGTAACTTAAAATCTGGTTGTTGTATATTTCTACCTATCATACACTGTTATTATTAACAGTAGTTAACTGTCATGCTTTTATAAATTGGGAATATTATACAAGAAGTCAGTTTGTTGAGAATTCTAAACTGTGCTGAAAGTTATTGTTTGGAATAAGGTGATTATTATTATTGTGGAGATCTTCTGCACTCAACACAAAGCGTGAACAAGTTCCGGATTTTTAACACCAACGTCAAGTCAGTGCTTCTACGTGATGGTTGAGAGAATTGACGCGTTACGAAAGCATAATCAACAAACTACAGACATTCATCAACAACTGCCTAAGCTGGCTCGTTACTGAAGATCAGATAGCCAGAAATAATAAGTAACAAGGAACTCTGGGAACGAACCAACCAAGAACCTATCGCTCAACAAATATGCAGTGTAAGGAAGTGGAGATGGATTGGGCATAGACTGAGAAGGTCGACTGGGGACATCACGCGTCAGGGCTCGAGTGGAACCCAGATGGGAAACGACGAGTTGTGCGTCCCAGCTGAAGGTGACATGGAGGAGATCATGCGAGGAGGAAATGAGAGCTTGTGGGCTGTCGTGGAGCAGATCAGGTTTAAGGTGTTTGGTGACCATAGCTTCGCCGAACTTAATGAGGACTGAGCTTTGTTTGGTTTTTTACCATCGTGAAGTAATTGAAGAGATCTGGCTGATGACCAATGTCAATCACACATCGAATGACTGCAGTCCTCAGAGTGTTACTCTCCTCTAAACTCGTGCTTTTTGGGATGTGTTTTGATGTTCTCTGAGCTTCGGTATTTTTTTCTTGAACTTTTCATTACCCGACTTGGAGACACCTTCAGCATAGATGCTTAGATATTGTTTCTACTGACCTCACTTGTTGTCCAATTGTAAGTTGGGGAAGAAACTTTTATCACACCTTAACCTCTTTGACCTTAAGTTTTCTTCCGTTATGGAGTGGGATTGTATTGTTTGTAGTTGTTACACTGTGCATCATTATTGATTTGGATGGTTAACCTTTCCTTGTTTGGTGGATGGCTGTTTTCTTCCTACACATGTCTATTGACTGACGTTTCGTTGGAATGCCATGCTTCTAAAACTTCTTTTGTGGTTTTTGAATCTGCTTTTTGGAGGATTTCCTCATTCTCTCAGACAAATGTTTGATGGTGAGTGTCTATATGCACTGAAACCGAGGAGGCCACGCCATGTCACTTTATTGTTAGATGGTGTTCATAAATCCTTTGAGCAATCCGACAGCTAAACTGCTGCGTTGTGAACAATCTTTAAAATTGATTTTTTTAGATCATATTTGTCCTGTCTTCTTTTGGCAACGGATCCTTTGGTTTGTACAACATGCTGTGTAATGAGTTTATTGGTTTGTATGCCTTTCTGATTCCGAACAGACGAAGCAATCAGTTAATTGTTTCTGAGATATCTTTGATGTAGGGTAGTGTAACGCGACTATTGATTTAAAGCAATGTAGGCCTTTCTTTCTATGCTTTCAAAGTATCCGCTTCAGCGGCTATCAGTAAATTGATATACACAGTTGTAGGTATGGTAAGAAGGGTACCTGTTGACTGTTGAAAATCCGGATGTTATTCACGCTATATACTGAGTGGAGTAGAATGCAGTAGATCTCAACACTGATTATTTCAGATTAATGAAGGCCTGTTTTGCCGTCTTTTCGATCCTGGATTTGACATTTTCATCTGTGCCGCCACCGCCTGTGGATGAAACGATGCTGCCTGGGTAGGTAGGCGAAAGAGACTACTTCTTTTATAATCCTTCCGTTGATGGTGATTGGTGCTTGCTGTTGGCTGGATATCTTCATCACCTGTGTCTCCTTTACGTTCACTTGAAGGAAGTCCCGTCTTCGCTGTCTCTTCTATCAACTTGTTAGTTTTCGCCTGCAGATCTTCGAGTTTGTTCGACACTAGACCTAAATCATCATTGGCGACATTCAAATCTAGGTTTTTTTCATCGATACAGTCAGCGTAAGCCCCTCTTCTCACTCCTCACAGTTTGTTGTATGATCCAGTTGAGTTCACCACAACACAAACAAGAAGATGATCGGTGATAGTAGGCGGCAACCTTATCTTACTTCAGTCTCCATTTCAAAGGCGTCACTAAGCTTTCCATTGTGAATCACCTGGTATGTAGTGTCGTCATATAGCTGCCGAATGATGTTGATAAAGGTTTGTGGCACTAAAACCGTAGTGTTGAAGCAGTTTCCAAATTGCTTCTCGGTCGACACTGTCGTAGGTCTTTTCAAAGTCGATGAAGTTGAGGTAGAGTTGATTGCTATTCCATACTCTGTTCTATGATGATGCGTAGCGTTGCAATTTGATCCACACATGATTTGTTCTTTCTAAGGCTAGTAACCTGTTCCGGTCGTAATTTTGAATCCAGAGCATATTTTAGTCTCTCCGGTAAGATGCGGCATAACATTTTGCTTCATGTGGACAGGAGTATGATTCCACACCACTTCTTGTAAAGACTTATATCGCCCTTCTTTGGAAGTTTGACAAGGTAGCTCTTCTTCTAATCGGCAGGGATCTCTCCTTTCTTCCTTACAAACCTTCTGTAATAGTGGTGTGAGCATATCCATTGATGTCTTTGCGTCTGTTTTCAGTGCTTCTGGTGTAATTCCATCTGGTCCTGTTACTTTCCCGGATTTCAGCAAGTTTATGGCGTTCAGGACTTCATCTCTTCTCTTGTCGGAAGGTTTGTGTACACTGTGGCTGCTGGTGGTATTTGTGGACGAGTTGCAGGTATTGGTTTTTTGAAGTGGTCAGCCCATCGTTCTCTTTGTTCTTCCTCTTTTTTAACTAAGTTTCTTTCACTATCTTTCACTGATTTCATGTGTGTTGATCTCTTTCGAGATAGTAACCTGGTTATTTGATATAGTGTTCTTAGGTCTTACTGATTACACCTTCAAGTTTTGTGCTCTATAGATTGGCTAAAAGTACGTCTGCAAAATATGGAACCCAATGTATACTGTACCTCAATTTAACGGTTGAGCTTCTTGATAAATTGGAGTTGAACATCCTTGGAACACATTGACAGTAGGTGTTTGAACTCTTTTGTTGACGTGGGGAGAATGTCGAAATGCTGTTATATATAATATCTATAGGTTTCTATGCCTATTTCTGATCATCTGAACTACTGACCAGTATTCTTTTTTCTTCCAATGCATTAAAGTATATTAAATTTTCAATAAAACTACCCGTTTTGAAATTGTAGACTTTAAGCTAACGATAAGATACTAGCGAAATAAAGTGGATCCAACAAATCCTACTGCAATTATTGTTTTTGCTCTTTTCAAATTCATAAAGGAGAATTCATACATGAAATGAAAACTGATTATAAGACAACCATTATTTCTTCTTTAGCATGAGATCTAGCCTCATTCGACAACAGTCCCTTCTTACAAACACATTTATATCTTTATTTTCAACAGATTAGATGATGCATATCGTCAAAATTATGTGGAACAGTTCTTATTTTTACTGGTTGATGATTGAAGATGAAATAAAAATCTGGACTGCCACCGGATTCGAACCAGCAACCACTAAGTCCCTGACCCGACGCTCTATCAACTGAGCTACGAGATCCCAAATTTGGAACTCACACATACCTATAGTCGTTCGCGGTTGGTGATGGTTAATAAATGAAATACATCTAGATGCCGAACTCTTATGAAGGAAAATATTTTCACTGTCCATAGTTGTTAGAAGATAGAACTAGATGAAGTCATCAGTGGACAGTCTTACAATTTTTTAATCTAAAATAATGTCGAAATATTTGGCAGATTGCCTTGGATACTGTGAAGCAGACTTAATTTCATTGGAGAAAATAACTTGAATTATATATCCTGTAAGTTTTGAGCGAAATATTCAAAAGATTGTAAGCTGAGGCGCATGAAAAGTAGGAAGCGATGGACGACTGATCTGTTTTAAATTAAGCACACATGAATAAAAACGTGTCATCCAGATAGATAAGGAAATGCACCGATCACATGAGTTTTATTGACGTATACAAAATTCAAATTCGTCTAATAAAGTTTGCTTACTTATGAGTAGCATAAAAAGTTTCTTGAAAGTATAATTTGTTCCTTTGAATAAATAATCATTTAATTTATGTACTGAAGTTGAAAAAGAAACTGATTACTTCATTCGATGAATAAAAGTGAGTTTAACCTACTGGTCCAAGATTAAATGTAGTTCATCTGTCCTTTAATCATTAGATTTGGTTTTCCTTTGAACTGACTGTGATATATTTCAATTTATTGCCAATTCAAAATAGTATAGAATATCAGCAGCTCATC